TATATGTGTCCCGGCGTTTCGCTATATATATAACTATCATATAGGGGAAATTGTCACCTTTGGTGGTCTTTTTTTGACATAACTCGAGAACCACAAGTCCGATTTTGCTCAAACAAATTTAAAAAAATTATAAAATAAATGTATGAAGAAAAAAAATATTTGTTGCCTAAAATATTAAATTTTTTTAAAACTGTTGATTATATAGAAAAACGTTATATGAACAGATTAAAGGAATTGTAATTTTTGTAGTAGTTTGAACCCTTCCCGATCACTGACCCCTACCATTTGTCTCACAGTGTTATTAAAGATCAACGCGATTCTTTAGCAACTTAAAACTTGCACATTATTGCCCTGAAATTTAATGGGCTATCAAACTGCATACTCAAAAAAATTCTAAAAGCTCTGAATAAAAAGTTGAAAATCTAGCTATAACTTTTGCACAAAGTTTGAAATCTGGATTTATATTGTGGTTGTTATACAATGAGCTAGGCTTTTATGAAAAAATAATAAACATTAAATAAACAAAAGAAAAACAGCCAAAATCGATCAAAATGTTGATGACTTAATCAGCTGATCACAAGTGTATGTATAAAATGGTCTTTATATTAACGACCTCAAACCAGTTTACAATAGTGGTATGTATTCATTAAATTGAGCAATTCTAATGAATTCGATTCTAATGAATTTTAAATGTGCTCTGGCGAAATGACAATTTAATATACCTTACGCATGTATGTACCTTTGTATACAAAAAAAGTTTAATAATAACCATAGTGAAATAATATAAAGTGTGCCAGATAGCAATGACATTCTATTTCGGAACTCTTATTTGATAATTTAGTATCACACATTTTTCTTTGATTTAGTTTTCATGTTAACCCTTATGAGAGAGAACTTATGAACTTTTTTGGTTTGTATAAAAAATTTAAGAAAAAATGCCAAGAAATTCTTGCTGCCTGTGCAAAGGCACACATATCGTTGCAGGACTGATGTTTACAGTCCGGAAGAATGAGGATCAAATCCGAAATTGGACAGAGCTATGCAACAAAACCAAGGGTTAATGCCAGAATGTAAAAACACGAATACCAGAAATGAAAGAAATGATAATAACAAAATCAAATTTTGCTTTCAAAATGAAGACGTCAGTTTACCTGGTACACTTTATATTATTTCCCTATGATAAGAACAATTCTGTGTACATACATTTGGAAAAGGCGTTTATGGGTAGGAAATGACGTTTTTTCAGACCAAGAGGGACGTTTTCTCATGCCGAAGACCTGACAACACTGCTTTCGGCACGTATTGACACATTTTTGACACTTGTGAGAGCGCAACTTATTTTTACGCTCTAATTACCGTAGCAGCCCGGAAAGCGTGTGGAACAAACCTACTCCCGTACTCAAAAAATGGGTAATAGAGAGCGAAAATTGGAACGTATTGGATCGTAAGTGTCTCCTTCTTCCTGCCCGAAACATCCCGGACTTTTTCACCGGGTAAAAACGGATAAAGTATCAGCGTGCTTATCAGCTGTTCTGTGTTTATATGTATTTGAAATTTTTATATACTTTTTTATTAATAAAATCAAATTTGTGTAACCAAAACTCAATTTCCAAGTGTTTAAATTTAAGTGTAGGTAACAAAACCCACTTGAATAAGCTTTTCTCAAATTCCGGGCACGAAATGTGATTTTTTGCGTTCCCGTACTTCTGGACATTGATCCACGAGTGCAGTGCAGCGGGGCACGGGGGTCGCGAGCGCGGCGCGGGGGAGCGAGCACATGTGCACCCAAGTTATGCACTCGCAAAATTAAAAATTACATAAGTACATATATTTATTTTCCAATATTTAATTAGTCCGGAAATATCAAATTATAACACTGTGCGACAGCTCAAATCGGTATTGGGTAAAGCCAAATGCAAGTGATAGGTTTAGGTGTCAATAATACTATGTTAGTGGCTTTTTTCGAGTTTAGCTCAAGTAAGGAAATTTCCTTAATTGAATCCATGCACACAATTTATTGTTTAATTAGGTTAAGGTCGTGAAAAATATTCTTTGAAAATGTTCATATAAGTGTTTTTGATACGAGGAATTCACTTTTGAAGTTCGTTTTTTATTAGCTCTGCGCTAGATGGTGCTGTAGGCCAATTTTCATTGAGTTTTTACAAACAAATACTAAAATCAGAGGTTTCTTAAAAAAATTCAGTTGCGATGTGAAATTTACTTTAATCGTATTACAAATACCTATTTTAAATACCACAATCATTTATTAAAACAGAAATTAATTTATTTATTGTATTTTATTTTATTCTTTTGACTACTTTTTTCAAATTTTCTTTCTTCTTCGCTTTTTATTTCGATTATCAAAATCATCGTCATAAATATTTTATTACTCTCGCTTGAGAGTGTAATTTTCCTATTTGACAGTTCTAAAGAGTTTAGCCTGCAAATTGCTGCAGCAACTATTATGGAGAACTATTTAATTTTGTGTGTCTTCGATAACGGCAATTTATCACTTTCTTTGGTGCTTTATTTAAAAAATGGTTGATTGCGAAAGAAAATATCAACACTATTGTTGGATAATGACTACAGCTGATGACGTAAATGTAAGCAATAACTTTGCAATTTCCTTAAAAAAGAAGTAAAAAAGAAGCAAAGTTGGAAGAAAAATTTGACAAAGGAATGAAACAAAATACAATAAATTAATTAATTTATGTTCAAAATATCAATTGCGGTGTTTGAAATCACTTCACGTCTGAATTTTTAAATAAAAAACATCAATTTGAGTATTTATTTGAAAAAAAAACTCAAGGAAATTCAATAAAACTGGCCTACAGCGTAAAGGTATCCACACACCTATGCGATTCTGTCGGTGCGATTCTGTACCGACAAAATTTACAACAATGCCGACCATAGTTTTAAATGAGGAACCACGCACTTAAACGATTATGCTGCAGCACTTTGTTCGAACATTCACAGTTCTTCTTTTGGTCGTGCTGAAATCGCATACTCCGCGTTTTGAGATCAAAAAAGGTCAATAGAAGGATTTTACAATATTAAAACAAAATTGAACGCAAGAAAACAAAACATATTTGGTGTAGAAAAGTTAAGATTTTTTTTTAATAGTTTCTGTTTGTCTATAAATTGACAGTTTTTTACTGCGATAAAATCGCACAGATGTGTGCGTACTTACGTTTTCGAAGCAGTAACATCTGTAGCATCAAAAACGGTGCGGATTCGTTCCGACAGAATCGCATAGGTGTGTGGATGCCTTAAAGCTAATAGTAAACGAACTTCAAGAATAAATTTCTCATATCAAAAAACTCTTATATAACCTAATTAATCAATAAATTGTGTGCAAGGGTTCAATTAAGGATATCTTCCTTATTTGAGCTAAACTCGAAAAAGCCCTTAACGTAGTATTACTGACATCTAAAACTATCACTTGCATTTAGTTTTACTCAATACCGAGCCAACAAGTGAGATTTTTGGTTTCGCATTTTGTAATTTATTTCATTTTATTAGTAATAATTTGTATCAATTTAAATAATTCTGTATCATACGTACATATATGTATCATATGGGTGTTTCCATCGGAAGGTCCATCACGACAAAAAAAAATAAAAGTCTTATATCTAACGTATTTACGGGCCGATTTGTCTGCTTTTTAAAATATATACTGGCTATGAAAGTATAATCATGTTTGCGTAAAATGGTCTTCCTAGGTGGCGCCAAGGTTGAGATATTTCGAAAAACCGTATTTAGGGTCCGATTTGGTTCGAATTTGGCTTGTGTAGTTGAAACATACCCCCCTATTATGAATTCATACGATACACGATAAACGCTTGCATTCTGTTATCCCGTATTACGAATTTAAGTCTATCGTATGAAATCCGATAGTTAGCGTTTATCGTATATCGTAAAAATATGATATTGCCAAACGATAACTATCGTCTCAGCCGTTCGATTTCAGACGCTTGCAAGCGGTTCGCCATTTTTAAACGATAGATTGCTGTGCTAGTATACCAAATTAAAATTTGTTAATTATTTTGAGAAATTGGAATAATGTAAGTATTAAAATGAGCAAAAATAAATTATGAACTAGTTATAAACTCAATTCAAAAATTTCTTTAGGCCGAGAGTTGTGAGTACAAAGCATCAACTAGAGCGTCTTGCTTCGCTAATGGAGGAGAATACCGACCTCGCAAGAGGAATATGTCATAAAGCTGTCGCGAAACCACGTTGGGAAAGAATTACTCAGGAGCTGAACTCATTAGGACCACCAACACGATCATCAGATGCATGGCAACGAGTAAGCATATTAGTAGTGCGTATATTTGGAACTGAAAGACTAAAATATTTTATTACTGTAGGTTTGGAACGATTTAAAATATAAAACAAAGAAAAAGAGCGCTCACAACCACGCAGAGAATTTAGCAACTGGAGGTGGGCCAAATAACACAGTTCCACTCTCAAATCTGGAAGAGACGGTGAACAGGCTAATGAGCTACACCACTTACAACAATCCGCCAGGCGAAGAATTTGGAATAGAAAATAATGACGATAATGAGTCCGTTACGGAAGTGGAAATATATTCAGACCACGATATCCCAGGGCCTTCGCGAAATGTGATACCTTCGCGAGAGCATGGCCGAAATAGCAGCTCTAACCCTAAAAGGAGAGAAGAAAAACAAATTGCACTCCTTGAGCGGCAGACGGATCAGCAGGCTGAATTTCAAAAGGAAACTTTGGCCACACTAAAAGAGATGAAACAAAGCCTTTCAAATATTGAAGTATACACAAAAAAAACTTACTATATAAAAAAAGATAAATTCGCTATTTATAAGCAGGAAATGGAAAGTAAGAGAAGAGATAGGAAAGCGAAGTTAGAACTCAAGAAAAAACTTCTTGAGATCAAGCAGAATATGTACAAAAATTGTTAGTTTTAAGTATGTAAATATGTAAATTTATAAAGTGTAGTGTAGTGGACTGAATTTTTTAATTTTATACATTTACTATTAACTACAAATGTGATTTTATGAAAAAAAGTGAATTTTAGTTTGTTTAAGTAAGTTTAGAAAATATAGTGGACTGAATTCTTTAAGTTGATACATTTACTATTAACTACGAATGTGATTTTATGGAAAAAAAGTGAATTTTAGTTTGTTTAAGTAAGTTTAGAAAATATAGTGGACTGAATTCTTTAAGTAGATACATTTACTATTAACTACGAATGTGATTTTATGAAAAAAAAGTGAATTTTAGTTTGTTTAAGTAAGTTTAGAAAATATAGTGGACTGAATTCTTTAAGTAGATACATTTACTATTAACTACGAATGTGATTTTATGAAAAAAAAGTGAATTTTAGTTTGTTTAAGTAAGTTTAGAAAATATAGTGGACTGAATTCTTTAAGTAGATACATTTACTATTAACTACGAATGTGATTTTATGAAAAAAAAGTGAATTTTAGTTTGTTTAAGTAAGTTTAGAAAATATAGTGGACTGAATTCTTTAAGTAGATACATTTACTATTAACTACGAATGTGATTTTATGAAAAAAAAGTGAATTTTAGTTTGTTTAAGTAAGTTTAGAAAATATAGTGGACTGAATTCTTTAAGTAGATACATTTACTTTTAAGCTACGAATGTGATCTTATTTTATTATAAAAAAACAATGGATTTGAGTTTGTACCTGAAGCAAGAAGCTTTATTATTTTTTGATAAAAACCTAAAGAAATATAGTAAAAATCAATGCAAACAAGACAGTACATTTCTTCTGATTTCTTCTGCAGCTTGTCGCATAGGAGTAGAGTCATTTTCAGAAGTTTCTATTGCAATTTCCGAATTCTCATTTTGCACATCTGCAATATCCTCTTCGTCGTATGGTACATAGTAATGATTGCAAATATTATGTAAAGCTGCACAAACATTTATGATCAAAGTGGCTTTTGCAGGAGTGTAGTGAAGTGCGCGAGCACTTAGCAAACAGCGAAACCGACTCTTTAAAACCCCAATCGTCCTTTCAATAATATTCCTTGCTTTAGAGTGCCGCGAGTTATATAAACTTTCTACTGAACCTTCTTCAGGATTCCTGTAAGGTGTTAGCAAATAAGGCGCTAAGGCATATCCAGCGTCACCTTAAAACATAGAAAGTAAATAAATTAAATATGAAATGTTTGAGTTACAAGTTGAGTACCTAATAACCAGGTGTTAGATTCACCACGGTTATACATTGACTCCAATTGTCTTTTTAATCCCGACATTTGAAAAACCATGGAGTCGTGTGTAGCGCCGGGGTGCTTGGCATTGATGTATTTTATGTTCATTAAATCATCACAGGTCTAAAACGGGCGCAAAATTGTAACAGGAAAAAACATTAAATTTAAAATACTTTAAATTACTGTATAGAAATTTCTTTACTTACTAGCATTGCATTTATGCTAAAATACCCCTTTCGACAGTAATACAAATGCTGCAAACTTTTTTCTGGTGCCACAATCTTAATGTGGGTCCCGTCAATGCATCCAATTACTCCGGGAATACCACTTGATGCAAAGAAGCTAGATTTTGCTCTTCTCTTTTCTTCCTCAGTATACTTGGAGCTAATCCACTTACTACATAGAGTGGTTTGCAAAGCACTCAATGTTTCTTTCAATACAATGGAAACAGTAGGTTGAGCTAAGCCAAGTAACGCCTCATTACCCACACTCTGTTGGTATGATCCCTGGGCCAGAAATCTTAGAGTTGCGCATACCTTTATTATATTTGGTATGGATGACTTATTTTTCCGTACACGCAATTTGTTTTCTACTTCATTCAGGATATAAATAACTGCTTCTTTGGAAAGTCGAAAATTCCTCTGAAAACTAAAAGCGCTTCTTAATTATTGAACTTTTAAATGTACATTTATGAGCTACCTACAATATAGAATTCATTTCCAGAGGATTCGAAGCATCTCTTAAATTTCTTCTTTCGATAGCCTCTATGCGAGTCTCATTATATCCTTCATTTAAATTTATAAAAAACGCAATTGATGTTGTAGAAAACATGTCCTTTAATTTTTATTTTATTGCTCACTCTCAATTTCACAAAATAAAGTAAACAAAAACCACGGTCATTCACAATAGTGCATCTATCGGGCGTATGAAAACGACAATACCAATACTGATTTCATACGATACGCTTGCAAGCGTTTATCGTTTATCGTATGGAAATTCATAATAGGGGGGATAATTCATCATAGATTTCCAACACATCCTGAATTGGCGCTGAAGTCAAAATACAAAGTATATTCTACATAAAATACATGTTTTATTTGCGTTAAAAATTCATTTATAAGCAATATTAAAAAAAATATAACGATGGAAATTTATGTCACGTGACGCTACGTCACGTCACGTTTCACACTTGGGGTTGTAAAAGAAAATTAAAACAAGTTGCATTAATTCAAAAAACAATCAGAATTGCTCCAAATCATATTAAAATAAGTTTCATGAAAATAGCCTTCCACGATTCGCAGAGTTTTGCGATTTTGTAAGAAAAGAAAAAATCTACTTCCATTTTTTGTCACGTAACGACACTCTCTTTAAATGCTTGTATTTCAGGACCAAGCAGTTCGATTGTTTTCATTTTCCGGTTAAATATAGGGCTAATTATGTGCTATACAATGGCCCAAAAAAGTAAAATTGTATTCCTTGTTTGTAACACATTGAAACGCACGACTGTCACGTATGCGACGTATGGAAATACCCATATGTTTTAGCAAAATCGAACAAACAGGCTTATTCAATGTGGAACAAAGAACCATTAAACTTAACTTCGGCGCGCACATAACACTGTGTGTAATAGCGTAGCCGAGATATTGATACGGCTAGAGCTGGTACTTTGAAGCGCGACCGAAGGTCGTCTGCGCAAAAAGGAGGTGTGCGCGCAAAAATATAGCATGTGGCATACCCGAATTTCGAAAACTTATATCATAATTATTTTAATTATTGGTATTCAAAATAGTTTTTAATAAAGATTGTTAGTTTTAATGATTTAAAGACATTGTTCCACGAGTGCAGTGCAGCGCGGGGCGGGGGTCGCGTGCGCTACGCGGGGGAGCGAGCAAATGTGCACCCAAGTTATGCACTCGCAAAATTAAAAATTACATAAGTACATATATTTGTTTTCCAATATCCAATAAATCCGGAAATATCAAATAGTAACACTGTGCGACAGTTCAAATCGATATTGGGTAAAACCAAATGCAAGTGATAGTTTTAGGTGTCAATAATACTGTGTTAGTGGTTTTTTCCAGTTTAGCTCAAATAGGGAAGATATCCTTAGTTAGTTAGTTGTTAATTTTTATGATTTAAAGGTGCCGCCAGGAGTTAACATCGTAAATAATGTTCGGAATGTATTTTCTATGGATAACTTTTGAAATATTAAAAAAAAAGTTAATTTCCGTTCCCGGATTCGTAATACTGGAATTTAAAAATGCTTCTTTTTTGATACCCCTTTTGACGAAATAATTTGATGGTTACCAATAATTTTCCCAAGTGTCCGTAAACTGCAAAATTACCGTAACAAATATAACACACGCCGAGAGTTTCGACATCATATAAAGTATGTAAAATTTTAAGTTATAGATCGAAAATTAACCCATATCGTTACACATACAAAGGGTTCCTTACTTTTTCTTTGTCTCTTTATATTTCTTTTGTTTTAGTTAAGGACTTGTTAATCAGTCCTCAAGTATTTGTATAAATAAACTTTATTTAATTTTTTTTTATGAAATTAGCACACTATATTCGTAAAACTTGTAAACTATATGAGGTAAATTCTCTCAAAAAATTTATTTTTTTGAGAATGTATAGTTATAATTGTGCTTAAACGCAAGGAATAAAAAAAAATTTAAATATGTGGCACCCCGGTTCAAAAATATTTTGGACAGTAAACTTTCTTAACCCTTTTAGTTTGATATCTGTATTGTAATATTTCATTTACTTTATCATTTTAGTTGAATAAAAATTTCCAAACAGATGGCAGCCCTTCTGTTAGGCCTCTAGCAATGCATCTGTGAAAACTAAATTCTATTCCATGCATTAGTTCTTTTGTGCTGGGCGTACAAACATACAGACAAAAATTTTAAAAACTGTTGAATGAGTTGCTTTAATAAAAAAAACCCTAAATTAATTTATAGACATTGCTCTTATCGTCGTTTAAAGTGCAAAACCGCGTATCAACGAAATGCAAAACCGCGTATAAGCAAAATGCAAAACCGCGTATGTGAAGTTGTAGAAATTATTTTCTAGAGCGTAAAAACACTCATATTTCAAAATGGTTCTTTTTCTTATAAAGCAATCGCATTTCTGGCTAATATATTTCAGGACAAATGGATAAGGATTGAGCCAAGAGCTTGTGTGAGCAAATCCAATTTTTGGCAGCCAATGTCAGTTACGCGATTTTGCAGAATGACGATATGCGGGTTTGTACTTTAAACGACGTTATACAATTTTATTATATGTACACTGCACCGCTCAGGCGGCCGAAATCCGTTTTGTATGGGTAAGAGGGAAAGAGACTGCAGACAGCGTTGCCAATTATAGCACTTTCGTACCAATACTCATGATGCAATAAAACAAGGTGTTGGACGTTGTGACAGCTAGATTTCATGCTGCCTTAGCTCAGTGGAATAAGAAGAAAAACGGGAAGAAATTACCCCTCGTTTGGGGGAAAAATATAAAACTTCATATTTTCTTCCATACAAAATTTTCTTTTCTATAGTCTATTCGTAATGAATTGAAATAAAATAAGATAAAATACTTTTTTAAGAAAACAAAATGTGTATACTGAGAAACAATAAAAATCATTCAACTATTCTATTAGAAAAATTGTTAAAGAAGAAACACTGTTTCACCTGAGGCAGCGAGAAACTGCCAACATCCAAAACTTTTTTTTATTGCATCATGACCAAAACTGGTACATTGAAAAGGATTTGGTGCCTTGATTTTGGTACTTCTTCCTTAAAAGAGGCAGTTCGGGAAAATAATATTTATCAATCAAAAATCCATAAATTTAAACGATAGTGGCAATACAATTATATCGTCAATGCGCGAATGGAGTACTTGCTCCTTATTACACTAAAATGTTATGGACTACAAAACAGCATATAGTTTTTGTTGTTTGGAAGTTAGTTCATGTTTAAAGCCATTTTGTTTCTTTATTGAAAAAATAGGGCGAATCTTTTATCTGTTGAAAAATGATAAATACGAGTAGACCATTTGTAAAAAATTTCGGAATTTGGTTCGGGCGAAACTCAGGATAAGGTTGATTGTGAAAAATTATTTGTGCTAATACATTTTTCCATGAGTGTTGTTCCTTTGGGTTTGTGTGAGTTAAAGCTTTATTTTTTTAAATCAACCTTAGTATGAGTCTGATTTTGGTCCGAAATCATTCCCTTCTCTCTTTTTAGTTTATGTGTATTCACTACGGGCGTATGAAACAATTTCGGGTGAATTTGTTTTCGGCCGAAACTCCGGATAAGGCTGAAAAGATTAACAAATGGAAGTTAGTTTATGTTAAAATCTTCTTTTCTTTATTGAAAAAATATGACGATTTTTTCTGCTGAAAAATAATAAATACAAATAAAACATTTTGTATTTTAGTACAGCAAAAAATCTTTTTCTTACTCTCAAAATCGTTTTGGTTCGGGGAAAAATATGTGACTGGCAACGTTGATCGCAGATTGACACATAGACAACACGTTTTGTGTTTTGTTTATTGTAAATTTGTCAGAATGTACTAGCAAAATCACATGAAGTTCATGTATACCCAACTGAAACATGGTTTCGAATCATGACATGTTTGAACGAGTCGGCAATCGGCATAGATAAATGCAGAAATGTTTATTACATAAGTTGTTGTCAAAAATTTTCGTCCACGAGGCGCAGAAATTGCTATAAAGTTCAATTTTTCATAAAAAAATGATTGAAAAGCAAACAAAAAAAATATTTTTGTAACGCAAATAATTTCATTGTATAGTTTCACGTTTCTTAAATCTGCACCCAAAATTTTTTTTCATTCGGACACTTACTTTCAAAGAGAAATAAAAATTTCCAAAACACTGCACAAATTTTCAATTGTTGATTAAAAAAAAACTATTTGGAATTTTGCAACAAAAATTACACAGTGTACTGTTCGACTACAAAACTCGGCACTGTCTGAATATCATTGAAAATTATTAATGTTGGTAAAGTCGGTGCCTTACCCATAACAAGCTTTGTTTTGCTTTTTACTATAACAAAGCCCTGAGACAAACGCCTCAGAATTAGTTTTTAATTGATAATAATAAAATTTCTTGTGGAACAACGAAGTTTTTCGAATTGTAAACTGGCATGACTATTAATTAAGGTCCACTTCTTCTATGTATGTAGTAACACAGTGAAAAACAAAATCCCTTATTCAGAGAATGAGGATTCGTCTCTTGGAAAGTAGTCGATCAAATAAATTTATACATTGAGCCAAAAGCACAATGGTTTTTTCAACCAAGTTGTAGTTTGATTTTTTCATGGTTAATAAGCCGATTGTAAGAAATATTATTCAATTTGAACATTTGAGATAAAATTCGTATATGAGGCATCCTTTTTCATTTCGGACACCAAATTTGGTGTCACACATTCGATTCGCTTCAAAATTTTTTTATGGATTCTATACGCGAAATAACCTAACACTTATTCGAGGAAATTTTTGTATTTTTTTTTTTCTTCGGAGATATCATCTGTCAAAGTCTGATTTTTTTCGTGATTCTGACTATTCATTTACTTCTTCAAATGGTTTTATCTCGGGTTCTGCCCATTATAAAGACTTCATCTTAACGTCATTTTAAAGCTAAAGAAACGGGCTTAACATTGCTATATATAGGGTGGTCATGATTGTCCTACGGCTAACTAAACTATAAACAGTTGAACTTTTTGAAGTTAATTTACATAGTGAAGACTAGTAAATTAGGGATTTAAAGTCATGCCATCATAATCCTTCTTTGATTCTCTATAAAAACCATGTTGTTAAAAAATGGGGGTTTTAAAAGAACTATTTTTAAGTTATTTTTTTTGTATAATAATATGTTTCATTTTGTGAGAGTTAACAATTTTTTGTAATTTGTTTTCGGTAACTTAGGACGAAAAATATTTAGCAAGGTGTTAAAAATAGTATTTTTGCAAAAATCTAAATATTATTGGGAATTCCG